TTTGGTTGTTTCTGAGGTAAGAATGAATTTTGTGTGTACGTTTAGTTGGAGACTGTAAAGGGTTTTAACTATGCCAACATGCAGTTCATTCATTAAATTGCAATCTTTGCGGAGTCAATGTATATTATTGCTACCTTAAGTACCATAATCTACATTGATCTCACAACACGTAAGCCGAACCTACTCGAACAATTCTATTCGGGGGGATAGCTAATTCTTTTTGATGAGTCTCGCCATAGACTTCCAAAACATTTATGGGGAAACCAAACACCCAATCTCAAGTCGTTCGTCTAAAAGACAACAGACAATTGAACCAAACTATATTTTACCATGTAAAGCTAACTTAAACCAAGTTAGAAATGGAAAAATAGTTTGGAACCCTTTTCTATAGGCATAAATCCCTATAGTTAACCTTTTCAGCATGTTCCATCCCTTAACTGGTAGCTGTAGCTGTTCCCAACCATAATAGCTTACACACCAGGTGCATATAGTTTAAGGCCTTATGTAAAATCCCCTTCATAAGCCCACCTTAAACCACATAATTGCATGTCACATTGAACCAGAACGGCACAGACTGGACATCCACCCAGCGACGACCTTCGCTGGAGGAGACCTGCAATCCTGACGTTGGTCTCCACTCTTCATCCAGTGGCCGCATCTTCGGTTCAATCCAAGGGAACCCCTCTGTATGCTGATCAATCAACACTTCCAATCGTTGTGGATTTACCATTGTGGATTATATGACTTTTTCCAATGGATTACAGACTCTGTTTCCAAGGGGTTAAAGCATTGCTACAATGGAATTACCAAGAACATTGTGGAATTACCTTTGACTTTTGTTTTCCTTGCTGGATTACTTTTGACTTTTGTTTTCCTTGCTGGATTACATCAAGCTCAAGAACATTCGAAGGCGTAAGTTCATGTTGGAATTCATCCCCATGGACAGGCGATGATTTCCAAAGGGGGGACTGTAGTGAACTAGGCCTAAGGTCAGGATTTGACCTTAAGGACCATATGGGACAGAAACTGTCATTTCATTGATTTGAATCCAGAAATACAGGTTGACCCATCCTGAGACTTTCTTTCTTGAAAATTCAAGTGAAAGAACACTCTCTTTTCTATTATCATTACTATTTTACAAATGTTTGATAATCAAAGTGTTTTAGTTCAAACCATTTTAGATGTTGTAGTGAACTAATCAATTTTTATTAACTGTGAAACAGTAATAATGATTTTTAATCCTCATGCAAAGTTAGAATTCATGTTAAGGTCTGTTACAGAGTAATTATGCATTTTCTGATTTTCTGTCTTTGAATGAGCAGGGTAAGTTGGTCCAAGGTTGGACTCAACGCAGACAAGTGTTGGAACGAACTGTCTTGTTTTTACATCCTCTCAGACGTAAATAGAGAAGCTGGCACCTGTTGGCACCTGTTTTCCGCCAACTCGTCTAAATATCCCTCTCGTCTGTCTAAAAACATTTTCAATCTGTTCCATAACATTCTTGCTGTTTTTCTGACTCATAGTGACCTCTTACGTCACAAAACACACCCCTGTCTGGTCGATATTGACCAATCAGAAACTCCCAAATGAACCGGAAATAGAGCTCTTTAAAATGTCGGTACTTCCTAGTTCAAACCAGTGTCGAGAGATTGTCGAGAGTCGTGTGGAGTTTCCAGTCAGGTGGAGAGTCGAGTTGGAGTCGTTGCAGCTCCCATGCTGGGAAACAGGAAGATCCTGACATGACCACAGAGCTCTTCCGAGTCTTATGGGATTATAACATCTTCCACCTCTGGGTGGAACTCTGACGGACTCCACTCATGTGAAGTCCACTCGTGAGGTGAACCTGTGTCGGACGGAATACCGTCACTACTTCGGACGATTCACAGCTGTTCCTACGGAGACGCTGAAAAGGTGCGTTGAATGGACTTTCGTACCAGTGGAGACATCTCCAGGTAAAAGAGTCGAGATATACCACCTAAGTGTACTGGGGAAGAAGCTGAGAAAAGCCCGGAGAGTGCCGTCCTGAATGCTGACACAACAAACCCCCTCACCCATCTTTTCTCCCTTTAAACTTCATCTTTCCATCTTTAAAATTCTTCTATCAGGTAGAAATCATTCCAGATATTTTAGAAATGTCTGTGTAAAGTTCTCATCCACCGCCGTGTGGTCAATCAAAATTGTACAGCTTGCTAAAATTAGCCATGTTGTTATTTTCCATATTTTGCCAATTAATGTAAATGTGTGATGTGTTAAACTTTGATTCTGTTAATAAATGACCCACTGTCGTTTGGTGAGTCAAAGATAATTAACGTCTCACGTTACATTTCTAAATTCAATGCACATTATATACGGTCCAGAAAAATGAAAGAATCCGTTTAATTTATGAATATATCTCATGCATATGTTCATCTACACAGCCACCGTGCTTCACTGTGAAGAGGGAGATCTCAGCCTGATGGGAGGTTGTTGTTGTTTTCCTGGATAAACAAAAAGTATCTGAGGAAGAATTCGCAAACAATCCTTCTTATTTTTATTGCTCGACTGCTGAGAGCAAAGGGTGATGATGTTTTCGCCCTCTCTGTGCGCGATCATTTGTCAGTGCTGTTAGTAAAATATTTTACGAGCTACTGGATGGATCTGAACAAAACTCAGTAATAATTAGCCAAATCTGATTAACAACTGGAGTTAATCCACATCCACCAAAGTGACCAGGACTCCATCTTTTCACGTCAGAGGATGGTTCAACCTCTACCAGGAGAGGTGGCGGGTGATGTGCATTCCTTCGAGAAATCCCATGTATTTATAACTTTATATTTTTTTAACCGTTCTTTCATAAATCTCAGCTCTGTGCTGTGTAATTTTATGTTTTTCTCTCCTTCACCTGTGGTCTGACTCCAGACCTCCTCTTGTGGTGGGTTACAATATTGCCCGTTCTCGCCTTAATCTGAGTTAAAAATAATCTGTACTTGCTTTTGTTTGAGCTCAGATCTGAAGCAGGAAGAAGTTGTTTGTTGTCAAACGTCACAAAAATATAAAGATTAAATGTGGAAAATAATGTTTTTGTTTTATAAATCATCGGGTAAATTATTTTCCATTTTACTATTTGCTGGTGTTTTGTGTGGAAAACCCCTCTGATGACGTCACACTTCAGAGCTGATCCAGAATGCCCCCAGGAAGGTCATGTGACCTGTGGGGAAGCGTGGCCTCTGGTAATCCCTTTAAGTGATCTGGACACTGTGCACCTGCCGTGACCTTTGACCTGGCTGCTCAGTCCTGTTCAGCTGCTCCCATTTACACAAAAACAGAAAATAATCAAACAGAGGCAACTTTAAGTGAAAACAGGCGTTCGCTTAGGTCAGAAAACAGTCGGCGAGCTGTTCTTTCCTGCACTTACTCTTTGTTTTTTAACGCTGTTCTTTTGTAACAGTGTTTTTTAATTACTTTTGTAATAAACAAAGCTGATGAGACTTCTACATTCTTGTGAATTAAGTGGATAAAATGTGTAAAAATTGATAGAGTAGGACAAGTTGGTTCAAAGTGAGTGATCTGTGCCAGTTTTATTTATTGATTTGTTTTGGGGTTTTTTTTATTTCTGAGCCTGAGATTTTTATTTTTCTACATTGTCTAAACAATTAAACTAAACATCTCTGCAATGAAGAATTAATATAAAATAGTAAAAGACCTATATAGCATTATTTAAAATATTAGACATCACCCGCCTCTTTTTGTGAGTTTTAACCCAAGATCTTCTTAAGGTGGAGGGACAGAGCGATCCTTTTCCAGATCACTAGCTCAGACTAAGTGCTGAAGATGACTCTCAGCTACTACTAACCAAAATTGATATCAACATTGATAAATTTAACTAAGTTTTAGCCATTTTTGTGTTTTCTAAAGTCGTTGACTATGGCGGCCATCTTTAATCTGGTTGACTCCAAAAGTTAATCAGTTAAGTTATATATGTATATATATATATATATATAATAATTGTTTCCTGAGAGTTTTATTTTAATCTGTCCAGTGGTTCCGGAGAAATTTAGCTAACAGACACAACACTGACTCTGACAGTTAATTCTAAAGTGGGAACTTTGTTCATCGAGCGGTTCTTAGAGTCTGTGTTGTGGATGACTCTCAGCTACTACCACTCCAAACTTTAGCTCATCATCTGTAAAAGTGACAAAATTATAGTCGTTTCCACTGCAGTGTTGCATGAGATATTATGCTAACAGATGAACAGTTGGTTCCAAATGGTTAATATTTTAATCAGAGATCTTGTGTGATCATGCAGAGCTCAGAGTATGTGCTGTGGATCACTCTCAGCTACTACCATAGCTCATCTGTAAACAGGACTGAGTTACAGCTTTAAGCAGGCGATAATTAAAAGACAAACCTAACGTTTGTTTAAAAATACACATGTTCTTTAGCATGTTGCTACATGCACTGTGATGGTTATTATTACCTCCACAGCCTCTGACCACATGGCGCCCGCCCCGCCCCACCCTGAGGCTGCAGTAATGGAGGGAGCTGAAAAACCCGACAATCAGGGCCAAAAATATCAACCGAAACCAGCTTCACATTATACATTATACGAAGGGATTTCCTTGCACTGCGACAGCCGTCAGAAACGTGGCCGATTTCTAAGAAAATCAAAAGTGTTTAAAATTTAAGGTTTTCGATTGAATTATTAAGAAACGTGACGACGTCTTGAGCGTCTCGTTAAGTGAACTTTCAAAGTAAAGCGCGCGGGATTACATCTAAAAGTACAAGTCCTCCACGCATCACTGTCCCTTCAAGTTATTACCTCGGTTTTATCCACACACACAAAGAGTTTTACAGCTGTCAGTCCTCCTTCTGTCCTCTTCTAGAACCTGATCCTTGTTGAGGCTGAAGGCACCTCCTCCTCTCCCTCCCTCAGATCAGTCTGCTCCTCCTCAGGACTCAGATCTTCTGTCTCAATTTGTCTCTTCTCCTCCATCGTTGTCTCTTTGTTCCTGTAGATGAAAATGTTTCCCCTCAGACTTCTGGTTCTGCTGGGCCTCCTCGGGCTCTATGAAGGTAAGAGATTTATCTTTATTTACATTTTCTCCATTGAAATACATTGAGAGCTCTTTGATTCCTTCAAAATAATGTTCTCACTGAAACCTGCATCAACAAACTGACTCTGATTCTGTCTTGTCTTTAGCATCAGCATGCATTTTACTACTTTTAGCATTCAGCTAGTGTTTAGCAAATTTTAAACACTTTTTAAATAGTTTGTTTCAGTACTATTAGTGTTCAGGGAGCTCTTAATCATTTTATTTTTTAATAGAACTTTAATACTTTTAGTTATGATTTGCTGCTTTTATCGTTTAGTATTTTTTTAGTTTTAGCTAGTGTTTTGCTGCTTTTAGCTTTAAGTTTAAACTTTATCAATTAGCTAGTGTTATACCAATTAAAATTTTTAGCTAGTGGTTTGCTATTTCGGCTAACGTTTTGCTACTTTTAGTTTTAAATTAGCATTATTGCACTTTTAGCTTTCAGCTATAGCATTTTTTCAAATTTAAATGTATAGTTCACATTTTGTTATTTTGTAGCCAGCATTTATTTTTTCTGGGGAGTGGTAGCTAGCGCAGAGGTTAGAGAAAGTGGGCCTAAAAGGTCGCCGGTTCAACTCCCTGGACCGACAACATCAAAAAATGTGGGTGGGAAAGGTGAAATGCCCACACCTGCCTCCACCCTCATTTACCTCATCCTGAGCCCCTGAGCAAGACCCTTACCCCCCACCATTTGCTCCCCCGGGTGCTAGATGGCAGCTCCCTGCTCCACACAGAGGGCTGTGGTAGCTCGGTGGACTGTGTTTGCGTCAGGAAGGGCACCCGGCGTAAAAACACTCACCAAGTCTTGGAGTTAGTTCGCTGTGGCAACTCCTGAAGAAGTGAGCAGCCGAAAGAAAAAAAATTAAATAAATTCTCCTTTCATCACGTGTTTTGCTATTTGAGGTTTTAAGTTAGCATATTTCCATGTTACCTTTCTGCTATCGTTTTGCTGTTTCTAATCAGTAGTTTAGTACTTTTACATGTTAGGTGGTCTTTTGCTACTTTTAGCTTTAAGCTAGGGGAATGGTGGCGCAGAGGTTAGAGAAGGTGGGCCTGTGATCGGAAGATCGGCGGTTCAACTCCCGGTATCGACAACATCAAAATATGGGTGGGACAGGCGAAGCACCCACACCTGCCTCCACCCTCATTTGCGTCACTCTGGGCCCTTGAGCAAGGCCCTTAACCCCCACCATCTGCTCTGGCAGCTCTCTGCTCCACACAGAGGGCTGTGGTAGCTCGGTGGTCTGTGGTTGCATCAGGAAGGGCATCCGGCGTAAAAACAATCATCAAGTCTTTGTTCGACTTTGTTCGCTGTGGTGACTCCTACGAAGGGAGCAGCCGAAAGAAGAAGAAATAAGCTTTAAGCACTTTGCTACCTTCAGTTTTTAGCTAGTGCTCTGGCTCTGTTAGCTTTTACAGCTTCAGCTTCTTCATTAGGTTTCCACAGTTCCTCTGGTTTCTCTTTACTGAAGGACTGAATAATATAAACAAGATAAAACTTTAATTAACATAACGAGCTGAAGGAAACAGCTTAATGAGGACAAGAAGGATCAGGATATTTAAAGGAGTCTCCTGTTTCACAGGGAGACGTCTGGTTCTGTCTGGGTCCGTTAGCTGCAGGTCAAACACAGTCTGTTCATCATTCATAGTTTCTATCTTTGGTGGGATTGGGTCCGTTCTCCCCTCTGACCCGGTTCTCGCTGTTTGACGGGAAGCTGAAATCAGCTGCTGAGTTAAAGCCGGGCCAGGTGGTAACGGGATGAGGAGTTTATTATAGCAGCTTGATCCTCCTGAGACCAACGTGTGTGCTACTTGTGAAGCCAGACATCACAGACCTTAATGTTTCTATAAAAGTTGTATCATCCTAACTCTCCCTATTGACAACTATGGATTGAAGTGAGTGGTAAAACCCGGTCCTGTTTGGACCTCCAGACTTCACAGCAGAAACAACCCTCAGAGTTTAAACGGGTCACAGGAAGTTGACATTTTGAGATCTTTGACAGTTTTCTGTGCAGTCACCGTTTAAGTTTAAGGACTTTTTTGGAGGATGGCACATAACTGTGGTCTAATTTTTCCAAAGATTTTGAAAAACTAACTTTCTTTATCTCACAAACTACAGTTTATCCTCCCAAACGCAGGTATTTTTGTCAGTTTTCATCCAGAATAAAATACCCCCCCAGCGCTGAAACTCCCATTGACTTCCATTGTGTCTGAGCTCAGATATTTCTCTTCACATTTGGAAGATAAGTCTCTGTTTAACTTGTAAAAAAAAATTGTAGACACAAACAACCATGTGTCATCAGAGTCTTCTGCCACAATGTTAATTATTTTTTACTTAAATTACAATTTTGACACAGTGACCATTTGTCTGAGACTTAATTTCTGCTCTGCGTTTCTGTCTGTCTTATCTGAGGTGTGTGTTTACCATGCTGATCCTAATGAGCCTCTGTCAGTGCCAAATTTTAGCCCTATATTTGTAAAATGGACTGCATTCTAGCCATATTTCTTGTGTTAGCTAAGGTTGATTAGCTGTGGCGACCATTTTAAATATTGATTCTGCTGATGGTTCTTCAGGTCAGGGGGAGACCAGATCGAGCTCCTGCGACGACTTCACTGACCTGGACCTGTCCCATTGCTTCATGGGAACCAGCCTGTACGTACGGCTGCTTCTCTACACCCGCGCCAACCTCGATTGTGGCCGCGAGATAAACCACCACCACCTGTCCTCCCAGCCGCTCCTCGACCTCCGTCGGCCCACCGCCTTCGTCATCCACGGCTACCGACCCACCGGAGCACCACCAATCTGGATCAACCACATCGTGCACCTGCTGGCAGAGCAGGAGGACATGAATGTCATTGTGGTGGACTGGAACAGAGGGGCGGCTAACCTGAACTACTTCACTGCCGTGACGTACACTGGAGAGGCCGCTCACAACCTGACGGGCTTCATCAGGACCATGCAGGTGAGATGTTTACTATTAAACAGGCTGTGAACAACCAAATACTTCAAATAAGTACATAAAAGCCAAAAACTAACATTGATGCCCATGTTAAGAGGATGGAAGCGTCTGTGTCTGATTTAGATGAATGTTGTGTCTGCAGGAGGAAGGAGCGTCTCTGAGCTCCATCCATCTCATCGGGGTCAGTCTCGGAGCTCACCTGGCTGGATTTGTTGGAGCGAACCTGAAGGGAAAGATTGGTCGCATCACAGGTGAAATGATGAACGTGCATAACTAAAACTTTCTTTTGCTGTTATGTGGCTTCAAGCTTTCTTCCATTTCGTCAGGTCTTGATCCAGCCGGTCCGATGTTCACCAGCGCCACACCAGAGGGGAGGCTGGACCCCTCAGACGCCATGTTTGTGGACGTCCTTCACACCGACATGAACTGTGAGAACTCAGATGGTCCTAAAACTAAAATCTCAGTTCTAGGGGTGGTCTTTTTAACACATTATGTGGTTTTTGAAGATGATTGACTGTTCAACTTTAAAGCAGTGTTTTCTTGGTTCCAGCGTTCGGCCTCATAGGGGCTCATGGCCACATTGACTTTTACGCCAACGGTGGAGCCGACCAACCAGGATGTCCCAAAACCATCTTTTCTGGTAGAACAACAAAACACATTGACACAGATTTGTAGCATATTTTGCTAACAGACAGAAACAGACCTAGACAAAACCATCATCTTTCTTTGACCTGTTGAACTGTTTTTCCTGCAGGTAAGTCTTACTTTGTGTGCGACCACCAGCGCTCGGTGTTCCTGTTCTTGTGCGCTCTGAACCGGACCTGCAAGCTCACCGGGTACCCCTGCTCCTCCTACAGCCGCTTCCTGGACGGCCAGTGTCTGCAGTGTGAGGCCTTCAAACCTGCTTCCTGCCCCGTGCTCGGTAGGTGGCGAAACATGCTACAATTGTACCTGACCACTGATGGGAGCGATCTGATTCATCTTTTCTCGCACAAACCAACATAGGGATCTTATTTTTAACACCTCAGAGCAGTTTCTACTGCCTTGTCAGCTGTTACACAATAAAACAAGTTTATTTTTGGACATACTCAAGTCCTGTTTGCATTCTTTCCTGTCATATTGTGCCACCACTCTCTGACATACAAATAACTTCTAAGTCATGACTTAGAACCTCATAACTATGGTTTAATATCTCAAAATTATGAGATACTACCTCAAAATATGACATAGTATCGAAATGCACTGCCTGGCCAAAAAACAAGTTGCCCCCTAGATTTACTGTAACTAAGCTAATAGATACAAGTCTCCTATTGGATAATTACCCATCGTCTTTGAGGAAGAAATGTGGCTGGAAAAAAAAATCCTGAATGATCGTGATCGGCGATCACTTAAATGTTTGGTGAAATCAAATGGAAGAAAAACAACAGTAGCACTCAGGGCTGTGTTTAATAATGAAAGTAAGAGCATTTCCACACACAATGTGAAGGGAACTCAAGAAATTGGGACTGAACAGCTGTGTATCCTTAAGAAAACCACTTATCAGTGAGGCTAACCTGAAAAATATGCTTCAATTTGCTAGGGAGCATAAAGGTTGGACTCTGGAGCAATGGAAGAAGGTCAAGTGGTCTGATGAGTCCAGATTTACCCTGTCCCAGAGTGATGGGTGCATCGAGGTAAGAAGAGAGGCAGGTGAAGTGATGCACCCATCATGCCTAGTGCCTAATCCTCAATGCAAGATCTTGGTGAAAAATTAATGCATCACTGGCTGGAACTAGATCTTGTGACAGTGCAGAAGTTTATTGAAACAATGCCACAGTGAATGCATGATGTAATCAAAGCTAAAGGCGGTCCAACCAAATATTAGTGTGTGACGTTTTTTTTGGCCAGACAGTGAATTATGACTCGGTATCACAGTTGTCTGTTCATTACTTTCATGGACAGGATGTCTTTATGCAGTCATGGGGTCTCAAATTTGGTTTTTGCTACCTGTTGGCGTCATTCAGCCGTCATCTTCAGCTCTCACTGGACCAGTTCACAGCCGAATGTGAACTAGCTGGGATGAGGATCAACACTGCCAATTCTGAGGGTAGTGACTGAAAGAATGAGATTGCGGTACAGGCGGTTGAAAGGTGAGAAGTTCAGTTCTCTAAGAGAGACTCGGAGTAGAGCTTCTGCTCCTCCACATCCTGAGTCAGTTAAGTGGTTCAGTAAGGATGCCCCCTAGGCACTTCCCTAGGAGGAGATTCTCCAGGAATGTCCAACTGAGAGGAGACCCAGGGGGAACCCCATGACACCTTTTGTGTCTTTTCTTATGCTAGAAATCTTCCAGAACTTGAACTTAAGTCGTGTTTTTCCTGCAGGATACAACGTAAGCCAGTGGAGAGACACTCTTGTGCAACTTGGACAAACCAAAGTCTTCTTCAGCACCACAGCCTCTCTTCCCTACCGGAGTGAGTTCATCACACATGCTTTTGTTTTATTTAAAAATGTTTTTTAATCTAAATAAAGTTCAGGTTTAACATGAAATAACCTGCAGAAGGTTCTGATTAAAGTCTTGCTTTAACATGATTTTCTGTGTCTGGTGTGTGGCAGAGCTGATCTACAGAGTGGACATGGTGACATGGAACCAGTATCTACGATGGGGGGTAGTCTACATCCGTCTGCACAGTGGCAGGACCTTTACAGAGGCCAGAGTTGACCAGTAAGTCCTTTTAAAATCTAAAACCATTTAAAACTGAATCCTGATCCAGTCTTCGTTTATTTATATTTTGCTTCCAAACAGTCAGATGTTCCTGTAATCTTCTAAAGTTGTCCCGATCAACATTTCTGTAGACATTCTGGAGAATTGTTGAGCTCCAGATCTCAGCCTTCAGTTTTGGTACATCTATGTAGATATAGGTTTTCAAACTGAGCCCAGCAGAGCCTCAGGTAAAGCCCTGATCTCCAGGAGCTCCTTGATAATCTTCTTCCCCAAGAAGGAGGGTGTTTCCCTGTTCCAGTATAAGTAACTGGTCTTCCTTCACCGAGGTCGGATCGGGGCTTTGCTTGCAATTCATCTGCATGAAGAATGTGCCAAACAAAACCCAAAACTCATACTGGCCCGTCTAGGCTCCAACCTTCACCTATGGTCATATGTGGATCATAACCAAAACTAGCAACATCCAGTGGCTTAAATGAGCTTCCATCATAGAGCGGTGGAAGTCTGGAGACAAGGTGAAAAGCTCCATCACAGGGGGAACCTGGAGTAGAGCTGTTGCTCCTCCACATCCAAAGGAGTCAGCTGAGGAGGTTCAGACAACTGATCAGAATGGTTTCTGGATGCCTTCATCTGGTGGCACGTCCCACTTGGAGGAAACCTTAAAGAAGACTCTTGGACCCGTTTGCTCCATGATCTGTGTTGGAGAAATGATCTATCATATAACATACATGCATGAAGCCAAGTCACAGAAATGAGCTGTGAACAGTGTTACCTGCTGACTTTTACAACATTCTCATGTAGTTCAGTGGACGTCCTCGAAGCCAGCTGCAGTCTACACTTTGTCTTCACAAATATGGTTCACGTGCATCAACAAGACTTCCTTCATTTTGAGATAAGAGAGCGTTTTAGGAGACAATCGAGTCACTTGTTCTCAGGGCAGAGGAGAAGAATGTTCTCAGCCACAACAATAAAGCAAAATATAAACATTCATAACTTTTGAAGAAACAATTCTCTGACGATCTGACAACAGAAAAGTAGAAGAAAATGGATGTATGAATGTATGTATGTATGTATGTATGTATGTATGTATGTATGTATGTATGTATGTATGTATGCATGCATGTATGTATGTATGTATGTATGGATGGATGGATGAATGGATGAATGGATGAATGGATGCATATATGTATGTATGTATGTATGTATGTATGTATGAATGGACAGGTGTATGGATGGATGGACGGATGATGGATGGATGAATGGACAGATATATGTATGGATGACAGATGTATGGATGAATGGATGGATGATGCATGGATGGATGGATGATGGATGGACAGATATATGGATAGATGGATGTATGAATGGATGTACAAATTGATGGATGGATGGATGGATGATGGATGGATGGATGGAAGTAAAATAAAAAAGAACTGAGTACTGGATGAATAATTTAATGTAGTAATACTTGTTTAAATTAAATTTGATTAAAAATGTAAAAAACTCAAAGTCTCTCCTCCTCCTGTTTCCTGGCAGTAAGCTCCTCCGGTTCGAGCAGTACACCTCCACCCGGCTGCTGGCCCAGTTCGACGAGGACCTGCAACCCGTCCATAAGATCTCCCTGCGGATCAACACCGGGAACATCATCGGGCCCCGCTACAAAATCAGACTTCTGAGGATCCGCTTCACGCCGCTGGAGCATCCTGACAGGTCCGGGAAAACACTGTATGTTACAGTACATTGTAAACAATGAAATAATTATCATTTTACATTACTGTCAGCTTTTAATTAAAAAAAGGCAAAATATAGCTGATAATGTTTTTGCCCAGTTTTAATTTAATATTTAGTTTTAATGTTTAGGACAGGAATCACATTGTTCTGGAAAAATTGCTCAAATTTCTCCATTCTGGCTCTAATTTGTTAGTTTTGCTCGTTCTCTTCCCCTCAGGCCTCTGATGTGTCGTTATGACATCATCATGGAGGAGAACATGGAGGTGGCGTTCAGACCTCTGCCCTGTGACTCTCATCCCTGAAATCCCGACCTCACGCACCTCTTCTTCTACTACGATGGAAACACATCTGTCTCTTTAAAACCTCAGACATGGACCTGAACTGGGTTCTTCCAGGGTCTCCTGCCTCCACGGAGCACCTCCATGGAGCGTCAGACGCTCTAAAGGAGAACCAGCAGCCTCCGTGGTACCTGAAGACTAGCTGGAGTTGTGAATTCCTCCTGGTTATCACAACCAGGAACGGGGAAGACGATGTGTGACGTGTTGTAAGAACAACAGATTTTTAAAGAGACCGTATGCAGCTAAAACAGCCAAAGTCCAAAGAAAATCTTTGAAAGAAATCAAAAACTCTGCAGAAGATTGAAGAAAACCACGTTAAAGGACTTGGAGAATTCCTTGGAAGGAAAGTAAACGTTAAAAATGAGAGTTGGATCAAAACTTTTGCTCTGCACTTTGTTTTAATTCACACCGCAGACAGGAATCTACAATCTAAAGCTAACCATACTCATTTAGTTTTTTTTAAATATTCCTGTAATCTAATGGATTAACATTATCAACAGTTTTTTAAGATTTACATTTGCTGTAATGTAAGTGTTTTGGAGTGGCTAGTCATGAAGCAACTCCAAAACAAGTTTGATTTAATCTGAATTTAATTAGTCAGTCCATTTTACAGATGTTGAGCTAAATTTTAGCGTGGTAGTAGCCGAAGCTGACCCCAAATGAGACGTGTATTAAGACGGGTGCTATGCGTTCCTACAAGAAATGCTAGTTTCCATTTCTTTCTGACACAGCATTATTTTACTGTAAATTGCTGCTCATTTTCAGTGGATTTTTTTCACTTGAGCCACCCTGATTCTCTTCAGACAACGATAACTAGATTATAATCCGGATTAATTTCAGAGCAATACATCTGTGCCTTTTATCTGCAACAGTTACCATTTTCTGTCTGCTGCTTCCTCAAAACGTTAAACTGGATAAAACCAGGGAATGATCGGTCCATCAGAGGGGACAGCAGGGACGTTTGTCCAACATCGTGTCACAGTTTTATGTTTGAAAAGCGACAGATTTATGTAAAGGCCGTCAGAAGCGGAACGGATGAAGGACACAACTCAGCAGCTCTTGTCTTGTGCTGCTTACGAAAAATACTAGAAACTTGGAGTTTTCTTTACTTTTCGTTTGTTTTTATTGAGCGTTTTCATGTTTTTAATAAAACAGCAACTAATCAAAAATGCTAAATCGTTACTTTGTTTTAATGTGATTTCAGGTAAAACTCTTTCCATTTCTTACAGAGAAGCAATGCTTCATAAACCTTCAGTTTGAAATGTTCACACCTGCAGAGGGCACACTTGTAATGAACAAAGATGGGAGCGTCACTAATTTATTTTTTTGTGTGATTACATTAAAACAAAATGTATTTTTCACAGCTGGAAAACAGATATTACTCACATTCACTGCTAATTGCAGTGCACAAAAATGAGAGCAGATTTAAAAGCATTCTAAGTATTATGTCTTTTAATTAGTTTATTTAATTAGACGCCAGTTTGCACCCTTTAGAGATCTCCGAGTTGAAACAACAGACCTTCATTGATAGAGATTTCCTTCAGCTATAAAAACAGGACTGGAAAAATACTGTGTTTGGCTTTTATAACTTTTTTAAAATGAGCATCTCACCAATTTGCAATGCTGCATTGCATTCTGGGGATATTACATGGACAGGTTGCTCTGGTGTGAGCTACATTTAGCTTTAATGTTAATTTTGGACATTATCTTATGTTCAACACTTTAGTTTGAACCAGGGTGCATTGACAGAGAGGAGAATGCAAAAATGAGAGGGCTTCTGCTGCATAGAGCTCCGCTTTCCATCACAAACTGTTACTGACAATGGGATCACATATATTAGACTAGTAATACATTTAACAATAAAAACTGAAAGTCACTTTATTGTCACTTTACACATCTTCCCATCACTTGTTCTAATTTGGGTGGCGGGGTTCTGGAGCTGGTGTAAAGCCAAACTTGTTCCACACAGACCACACATGGGTTTGTTGGGCAGTAGCCTGTTAACTTCCAGGTTAGCTTCAGCGCTAATAAACTAAACATCACAAGTTGATCACGTTTGATCATTTTGACCCATATTGTAACAAATAACATAGGACTAAGACAAAATTTATATATTATTATCATCACACAATATACCTTTTTTTTTTTTTTTTATCACTTCAGCATCATTCCCCAGAATGCACTGCGCCAGTAAAATAATGGCAATGTCCTTAGGTAAAATAAATAAATAAATAAATAAAATTCAAGTAATTAGGGGTTTTCACATGTCAAAAACAACTCAGAGTAAAATAGAGGAATTAATAAGGATATTAAATTTAAATAGTTTTGCTCTGTTGTGTCTGTTGGACCGATTTTAATGAAACCCATGACTGAATGTGCATCTATGACAAACATTTAGAGTCAACCTAATTAAAGATGCTTTAATTACTTTGAGGGAGTGGTGGCGCAGAGGTTAGAAAATGGGCCTGCAATCAGAAAGTTGCAGGTTCAACTCCCGGTACCATCAAATTCACACTCACACCTGCCTCCACCCTCATTCGCCCCATAAGTTCTTGTGGCTCAATGAGACTACCTGTATAAATAAAAGGTAACGTTAAAAAAAAGATGGCTGTCACAGCTAATGGATAGTAGCAAATGAAAAAATAGTGATTATGCAGTAAGTTTTACAGATATTGGGACAAAATAGTGTGGCAGTAGTTGACAGTCATCCCCAACATACACTCTGAGAACTGAAGTCCGGCAAGTTCTCGCGAGAACACATGATCAAGCTGAAAACAAATGATCAAGCTGGTATGACTCGTTTGTATTTGTTTATTATAATATGTGTACATTAAAGTTTTATAATCATATATATCATATATCAACATATCACGTGACTCAGTAAGCGCGTGCGCCCGAGCTGTAGCATCATCGCTGACCCACATTAGCTGCACTTCGCTCAACCTGTGACGTAACCCCACCGCTGTGGTATCCAGTTAGGCACGTGCGTTCCGACACGAGCTGTTATAGCCGCGTGAGGAAAAAGGGAGGGGGGTGCTTAACGGAAATAATAAACCTTAAAAACACTTTAAGAAGCTCATAATCCATATTTTAAAATATATTTCACGGAAGAGTTTATAGCGGCAGCCCACCTGGTTGCTAGGAGACGCGGGGCGGCGCATTAATATGTAAATCAGCCCAACGGTGAAGCGGTCTGAGGTTTGTATTTTTTGTTGAAAACGGACAAAAAACGTTATATCAATATGTAATTTTATTCATTTCAAAAGCCAACTACATACCTTTATTAGCCTATTACAGGTTGAAGGCGTGTTAGTAACGTTTAAAAGCATTGTGTGGGTCATATTTTATTTTCTGATATAAATTGATATAAAGTAGAAAATAGGCGTTAGCTTAAGTGAAGTTGCTAGCTTGTTTGGTGCTAAATCAAAGTCTTAAATTTGCACAATTTTTATATCATTTAGGTTTAGCTGTAAAGAAGTGTGTGCGATTTTATGTAGGTTTAATAATCGTCTCCTCCCCTCTCTGTATGCCCAGCTGTCTGTTTTCCTGAGTCACTGTGCCGAACCGGGGAGGTACTGTCTGGGTTTTCTGCTCCGGTGGTCCGGTTCTGCTGGTGAAAATCCTCCATGATCCAGGTTGTACCGAGGCGTGCAGACATGACAGGTAAGATGAAGTATTTTCATCCGAGACATTCTGATTAAATGCATTTATTTATCTTTAATACACAGAAACGAGATGAAGCAGCTGCACCCTGGGTGTAACACATCAACAAAACAATACAAATTTATTAATACTTCAAGTTATTTTAATGAGAAAATTCGTCATAACAGGTTTGATAGTTTGTGTGTGCAGCTGTTATAAGTATTAGTAGCAAGATATTTTGATTTAAAGGTCTAGCATAGCTTGGAGGAATGCATATCACCCGCTGCCTTTCATGCAGGAGTTTTAGACAGTCTGTGTATGTGTTGCAGATGACTCTCAGCTACTACCATGCCAAATTTCAGCTCAATATGTGTAAAACTGTTTGAGTTATAGCCTTTTGGTTTTTAAGGTCAGCTGGCTGTGGCGGCCATCTTGAATGGATTAAAAGTAAATCAGTTGTAGATGCACGTCCAATGATTATTTCCTGAAAGTTTCATTTAAATCCATCCAGCGGTTTGAGATATTTTGCTAACGGTAAAACATCACCTTTTGGCAGCAGGATTTTTTTTTTTAGCTCTCTGTATTGTAACATCAAATGTAACATCACGTCTGTGGTGATTATTATTTTTTATCCAGGAACATTTTGTTTTTCAGCTCATGTTGTTTTCTTGTTTGACACTACCATTGGTTTTATGTCGCATAAATCAAATTTAATCATGTCTATTAAAAATAATCAGGAAGCTCTTTGGTTGTGATGTATTTTTAACACAAAATGAAGCAAAGCAGAAACTGAAAATTTGCATAAATTTGCATTTTTGACAACTGTGCTGTGAATCTGTTTTTTTTTTTTAGACGTTTACGTCTTTTCACCTTTTTCTCTTCAATTCGACAGACGAAGAATTGAAAAACTAATAACAGCTCACACGGGATTTATTTTAGTCAGACGTCACAAGAACATACAACTGCTTGCTTTTAGCTCCTTCCATATTGTCATGCATGGAAGTCACGTTTATCAGTGTTATATTTTTAGCCGTTTGTGCCTCTTGGCCAGCATGAATCATGTGTGTCTCTAAATCGCAGCGCTGGTCCCTCCTTCTGCTTCTCCACGCACCAAGAGGCATGCATCTCCTTCAAAATCACCATCCAGTCCTACAGGTAAACATCTAAACATCTGAACATCATATCATAAACATCATAAACATTGCTGTCATCTGTGTTCTTTGTTTAAAACAGGTCTCTTGTAAATGAGTCCTTGTTGCATGAGACAACCTGCATAAATGAAGGTTGCATTGAATTGAACTGAATCCTGCAGTGTGCTCTGAATATCTTCATTAGCCATAATGTAACGAACTGGAAATATTACTGCATTTATTATAGTCTCATAATGTCCTTTATTTTCAAAGTATTTTGTTTTTGTTAGCTGGGAGAGGACATTTTTTTTAATGAGGTATATTTTCAGGCTGGAAATCAACAAGAAAATGCAAATCAAAGCTAGTAATATTCCAAATTTATGTGGAGTCAATGAACACGAGCAGATAAAGCATAAAAATACTTGACAAGTACATTTTTATGTGTTTGCGTCAGTTTAAAGTCAAAAAGGAAGGAGGAAGTTCAGCTGATTTTATTTCCTTTCTACACAGTCTGGATGCGCACTGTTTTAGCTCGACAATAAACAACTGTGTCGTCAGCATAGAAATGCATCCATACATTTCTATGCTGACGACACAGTTGTTTATTGTCGAGCTAAAACAGTTGCTAAGGCTTTCCAGCTTTTGAAATCTGCATTTAACTACATCCAGACTGATTTGTTCCACCTCAAACTTGTCCTAAATGCCGAAAAAACCAAAGGGATGCTTTTTTCAAATAGGAAGTTGGTCCCAGCAGTTCTTCCTCCGATTTTATCCTCAAATGGTGTCCCCATTGAGTTTGTTGATTCCTATAAATATTTGGGTATCTTGGTCAACTCACATCTTTCTTTTAAGCTCCATGTGGAAAACTTGGTAAAGAAACTGAAAGTTAAACTGGGTTTCTTTTTCAGAAACAAATCCTGTCTAACCCTGAATGCTAGAAAACGCCTTGTATCTGTGACTTTCCTTCCCTCCATTGATTATGGTGACATTATTTACATGAACGCTCCTACAAGAACCCTGCAGATGTTGGATGCTGTCTATCATGGTGCACTAAGATTCATAACTGGCTGTGATTATCGTACCCACCACTGCACCCTGTATTCACTGGTTAACTGGACATCATTAATTTCACACAGACTCTCTCACTGGTATATTTTCATCTTTAAATCACTTCTTGGTCTGTTGCCTTCATACATCTCCTCCTACATGTCTCTGCGTGAGTGCAGCTACGGAGTGCGCTCTCAGGACATTATTACCTGCAGTGTTCCCTCAGTGAGGACTGAACTAGGCAAAAGGGCCTTCTCCTACTCCGCTCCTGTTTCCTGGAATCCATCCATCCATCCATTTTCTTTACCCGTTTATTCCATTTTGGGTCACGGGGGTCGCTGGTGCCCATGTCCAGCAATCACTGTGCGAGGGGCGGGGTACACCCTGGACGGGTCGCAAGTCCATCACAGGGCCACATAGAGACAAACGAGACAAACAACCATTCACTCTCTCACTCACACCTAGGGACAATTTAGAGTTACCAATCAGCCTAACATGCATGTTTTTGGACTGTGGGAGGAAACCGGAGTACCCGGAGAAAACCCACGCATGCACGGAGAGAACATGCAAACTCCACCCAGAAAGGCCCCTGGACCGGGGTTTGAACCAAGGACCTGCTCGCTGAGAGGCAGCAGCTCTACCAGTTGCGCCACCGTGCTGCCCGTTTCCTGGAATATCTTACAAAAAGATTTGAAGCTCTCGACCTTGACCTCTCTAAGTGTCTTTAAAAATCTGTTGGACACCTGGCAGGGTCCAATGCAGACATGTTCCTGTTTTTAGTTTTCTACATTTGTCTTGGAATCTAGCTGTTTTTTGTTTTGTTACCTTTTCCTTTTAGCCATCCTATTTGTTAAAAAAAAAAACTGTAGTATGCTTTTTTTATAACTGTTTATTGTTGTTGCTGTTGTCCATTGTTGTCATCTTTCTTTGTTGAAATCAGGTCTCTCTTGTAAATGAGTCCTCGAGGCTCAATGGGATTTACCTGTATAAATAAAGGTTGATTGATTGATTGATTGATTGATTGATTGATTGATTGATTGATTGATAGTCTGGGAAAAGATTTGCGTTTTCAGACTGACCTTTTGCAAAAATAAAAGCCAGGCATTTAAAGTATTTTATAACTAGTGCAAACAGCAGAGTACTTTTGAGTTTTAAAGAGTAAAATGTGGACATGGAGTACGGAGCAAAAGTTTTCATCCAGCCATAAATTTTATGGTTCACCACTTTGCAAGATATTTACCATTTGGTGGATATTCTCCAGCCAATGAGTCGTAAAGCAGGGGGAGTGGTGGCGCAGAGGTTAGAGAAGGTGGGCCCGTGATTGGAAGGTTGCCAGTTCAACTCCCCAGACCAACAGCATCAAAATGTGGGTGAGAAAGGTGAAGCACCCGCACCTGCCTCCACCTTCATTTGCCCCAATGTAAAAACAATTGTCAAGTCTTCGTGTGAGTTACTTCGCTGTGGCGATCCCTGAAGGAGGGAAAAGCCAAAAGAAGAATAAATAAAGAGCATGCAGTTTTTAGTGTTTTACAACCAAGAACGAGATTTTTGAATCATGTAAAAAGTCAAACACTTTGAGGCCTTAAAATTAGTACAAAAACATGCAACAAATTTTCCTTTTTTAATCAGCTGTTGGCCGGTAAATGTTTTTATTTGGGTGTCAAAGATGGCTGAACACTAGTCAAGAAATCTAGAAACTTTGAACTGCCTTCATCTATTCCAGCGTCCTCCTCTGCAGGTCCTTCATCACTTTGCGCTCTTCCTTTGGTCCTTCTCCTCTGTGGCAGGTCTATGTCCAACATCCTTCATCCAGTGTCCACTGTCCCTCCTGCACATGTCCAAACCGTCTAACTTTGTCTCCAAACCAAACATCACAGCAGACGCACCCTTCAGTCTCTAATCTCCTCCTGACTCCTCTCTCCAGAGCGTACCTCCACCTTCCACCTGCTCCCAACTCTCATTAGAGATGTCCTCTGCAAACATTATATTTCGTGGTGACTCCTGCATGATCTCATGTCAACTCTGCCATCACTTTTTTTTATTGCTTATTATTCCTGTATTAGCAATGGGACAATAATCAATAAAAACAAAACTTCTTGTGTGGGTTTAGTCAAGCCTATTTGTGAACAAAATGTCCAGAAACCTCGAAGTTGATGTTTTTTTTTATGCTTAAAACTAGCTGAATCTTTCCTAGGAGACTTTAAGCTCTTGGTTTACTTTATGTCAAAATGTTTCGGTAAGTTTGCTAATAATTCTGCTTTTTTTAAGCCTCCAAACTGACCTTTAAGCCTAAAACCCCTGATATAAAAGTCTGTCCTCATCTTCATAAAAACACTAAATTTCAGAACGCATAAAGGAGGGGGAGTTCTTTTTTTGGAAATGAGAGAAAAGATAAAACTCAGATTGATGAGTGTTTGCTCGATGTGTCCTGCAGAGCTGTCCCAGGTGCTGCAGGACAAGGAGCGCCGTGTGCAGCAGCAGCTGGAGCGCTGCGCCGAGGAGCGAGGAAGGAAGATGGACGAGCAGAGGAGGAAGGAGCAGCGGCGCCGGGCCGCAGCAGAGGAGAAGAGACAGCAGCAGCAGGAGGCAGAAAAGGTCAGAGGTCACGCGACACATAATGCAGATTTGTGATGTGAATCTTGAGTTGTTTTAAATTTACAGTTCTATAGCAAACTATAGGCTATAAATCAGTGAACTGTATGATTTAGAGTTGCAGCTTGTTGTGGTAGCTGCTGAGAGTCTTCCCGAACACATACTCTGAGCACAAACAGGTTGAGCTAGATGTTTGTTTTCATCTTTCACATGTAGGTCACCTGGCGATGAGGATTCCTTTAACGATTACTGGTTTTATGTGTTTATTTATAATTAGAATATCTTAAAGTGCAATCATACGCTGCCTGGCCAAAAAAGAAGTCGTCACCAAGAAAAGTTCCCACACTCATATTTGGTTGGACCGCCTTTAGCTTTGATTACGGCATGCATTCACTGTGGCATTGTTTCGATAAACTGCTGCAATGTCACAAGATCTAGTTAATTTTTCACCAAGATCTTTCATTGATAACTAGGCACTAGGCATGATGGGTGCATCACTTCACCTGCCTCTCTTCTTACCCTGATGAGCCCATCACTCTGGAACAGGGTAAATCTGGACTCATCGGACCACATGACCTTCTTCCGTTGCTCCAGAGTCCAATCTTTATGCTCCCTAGCAAATTGAAGCCTTGTTTTTTTCCAGTTAGCCTCACTGATTAGTGGTTTTCTTAAGGCTATACAGCTGTTCAGTTCCAATCCCTTGAGTTCCCTTCACATTGTGCGTGTGGAAATGCTCTTACGTTCATTATTAAACATAGTCCTGAGTGCTACTGTTGTTTTTCTTCCATTTGATTTCACCAAACGTTTAACTGATCGCCGATCATAATCATTCAGGATTTTTTTTTCCGGCCACATTTCTTCCTCGAAGACGATGGGTCCCCACTATCCTTCCAGTTTTTAATAATGCGTTGGACAGTTCTTAACCCAGTTTTAGTAGTTTCTACAATCTCCTTAGATGTTTTCTCAGCTTGATGACAATGACTTGACCCTTCTCAAATAGACTGACATCTTTTCCACGACCACGCGATGTGTCTTTCCACACGGTTGTTTAAGAAATGAGAAGCAACTCATTGCACCAGTTGGGGTTAAATAACTTGTTGCAGCTGAAAGATAATCACCCATGCAGTAATTATCCAATAGGAGGCTCGTACCTGTTTGCTTAGTTAAATCCAGGTGGAGACTTTTTTTTTTGGCCAGGCAGCGTAGATACGATTGTAAATAAAGTCCAATAGAGTTTGTTTGTTTGGAGCTCTTGATAATATTTGTCCAGCCAGCCGTGTGGTTATAGATATTCCAACAAAATTAGACAAAATGTGAAAGATAAATCTAGTAGAAAATCAGGAACTTGCTCAAACAGCTCATTATAGTTTTCATGGAATCCACAAGTCTTTAGTTTATGTTCCTAAACGTTGAAATTAAAACAAAATCAGAGTAAAGCTGAAAAACAGGTGGAGCTCCTCGAATTGATTGGGTCGATCCACAACCTGGTTCTTGTTCGGACGATGTTACGTAGAAGCAGGAAATTAATTCTGAATCTCTGATGTCTGACCACCTGTTTGGGTTGTTTTCTTTCTCGTGCTTTAATTTGTTAAATAAAATGTCCTGACGTTAGTCAGTCACAGGAAATGACATCACCTTTATCATATCAGGGGGCGTTGACTGGAACAGTCGATGAGTTCACCGCACGGACGAGGACACATTTTTCTTCCAAAAGGAAACGATGTGAGATCACGGAGTGTCGGAGGATTCAGAGGAATCGGGCTTCTTAATGCAGATTTTACATCAAATTCAATCTTAATCTTTTAACTGTTAATTTAAAAATGCGCTTTGACTTTTAATATTTTATTTATTAAGATCAATGTTTAAATTTTGGTCTTCGTTTAGATGTTTTTTTTTTGTCTTTTATTATCTCACCAGTAATTAAAAAAAAAACTCAATGAAATACAACAAAAGCTAATTAAAATATTTGGAAAACTAAGTTTGGACAAAATGTGTCTTTTTACCTCAAAACACAAAATTAACTAAAGTATGCAGTGAAAGAGCTGAGGGACGGCTGAAATCAGCTGAAGAGGCTGAAACTGAGTTGTTAAAGCAAAAAGAAACAAAACACTAAACAATAAAAGTTGCAAAAGGCAAGCTTAAAGTTCAAATCCAATAATTTGCTAAAAGCTAAAATAAACCAAAGTGCTTTTTTAAAATCTTTAACACGCTTCATTTTTAGTTTTTAGCTTCTGTTTTGCTAGTTTTAGCATCTAGCTACCATTTTAATAATGCAAATTTTTATGTTTGCTAGTTTTAACTTTTAGTTTATTTTCCTATATGTTCAGTTTTTAAATAATGTTTTGATAATTTTAACATTTATCCGCTCATTGATAGTTTAAGTTTTTAGCTTATATATTTTTTTTAATGTTGCTTTTGTTGTTTTTTTTTTATCTCAATTCAGTTTTTAACTACTTTCTTATAATTTAAGCTTTCAGGTGCTGTTCTACTAGATTTAGCTTTCAGATATTGTTTTTATAACTTTAACTTTTAGCTGCTGTTTTTTATTTTTTTTTTACTTTTAGGTTGTGTTTTTTTTTTTTTTTTTTAAGCCTTTAGCTACTGTCTAGCTGGTTTAACTTTGTTAGCTATGATTCAGCTGGTTTTAGCTTTTAGCATTTTTTTAATTTTGTCTATTGTTTTGCTCTTCAGCATTGATGTTCCATTGTAGCAGGAAATGCTAATTTTAGCTGATAAATTATTATCAGTTATCAGATTTCAGTCAACTGATCAGTCCCTGCTCCTCTTCTTCTCTTCTCTAACGTTCCCCACCACCACCAACCAAATCTGCCCCACCCCTCCCTCCTCCTGCAGTGTGACTCTGCACCTTCAGCACCCCCCCCCCCCCCATCAGTGCTGAGGTGGGATATTCAAGCCGTTTACCGCATCAGTTTGATGTTGTGTAATTAAACATTGCTGCACTCAGAATATGCACCGAGGATGATTCTCAGCTACTACCACACAAAATTTGAGCTCAGTAACTACCGGTATATTTATTTGAGTTATCAACATGGTTGTGTTTGCTCATGTTGATTAGCTGTGGCGGCCATCTTGAATTGGGTCGACTCCAAAATATGATCAGTTCACGACGTTCATCCAGTACCTACGTTTAAAGAGTTTCACTGAACAGCGAGATATTTTGCTAACAGACAGACAAAAAACACAGTCAGACACAGGCAAAAACATTATTACCCGCTGCTAAAGGCAAAGTGGTGATAACTCGCTAAAATAAACAATATGTCATACATTTAGAATATGAGCACCTCTTTAATTACTCAACGTGTGAAATAAAAATAAAAAATTCTGTTTTCTAAAGAATGTCAAATTGTAACTCGAGATGAGAAAACTACTCATCCAGTTTAATAAACACAAATTGTGAGGCCATACTTTACAGAAGAATCAAATTAAACAATATTTATAGTTATATATTGTGATTTGTAATGATTTAATTGATAGTTATGAAATATGACTACATGCCTATTGCGACAATTAAAAAGTTAATAAATATAAAATGTTAGTTTTAACAGAATTCCAGTCTGAATTCCAGTCTGAATACTGAGTACCGAACAGCACCGCTTGGATGTGCTGCAGAAGCTGAAACTGAGTTGTTAAAGCTAAAAAGGTGTAAAACACCAGCTAAAAGCTAAACGTAGCAAAGGTTAACTAAAAGTTCCAGTCTATTTAAAAGCAACAGAACAAAAGATAAAATTAAACTGAGCATAAGAAATAAACAAATCTAGAAGCAGATTTCAAAGAAAACAATGTTTTTAAAGGAACTGACAAGATCTCTTGAGTTTTAACAGGAAAATATTTTTAAATTAGGTTAATTTTAAGTATAAATGTTTATTAAAAAACAAAAGTCAGCACTCATTTCCTAAATGAGCTGAATGTTTTGATAAAAGCTGAAACAGCACAAAGTCTGCAGGAGTTCGATTGTAAATAAAACATATATGACAATAGAAAATGGAAAAACAGCAGAATAAATTGCTGCCTCAGAGTTTATCACCACTTGTTAAGTCACGATTGAACAGAAGATCACAAAACAGGATAAATATTTCATCTGATGTGCCAATAGAAAGGCCTGAAATGTAACTTAAGACTTTTAGACAAACATTTGTTATTTATATATATTATGTATCTATATAATCACTCTCTCTAAGCGTAGGTGGTAATAATGCACAGTAGACCTGAATAATAACAAACAGACTTCATGATAACGAATATATATCTGTAGATTTCATGTCAGGAGCTCAAACTTCAGGATGGATTCATTTACAAGTTTATTCAGTTGTTAAGAAGCTAACGGAGCATATGTTGGACCACAGTTCAGGCTGTTTTATGATCTGTAAAATGGCCCATCTTCAGTTAAAATACATGTTTACATTCTTACCTGAAAATACCAGAAGGAGCTCATTTTAAAGACTAAGCCTTTAGTGTTTAACATATACCCAACATTTTTCAAAATTACCATTATTATATGTATTAGTGGTGCAGTGGTATTGAATATTTTATGCTTTAGATGTTATTTTTGTCTGTTTTATATTTATCGAGTGAAATTCTCTTTATGTCTTTGTGATATTTTTCCTGTTTTTGTTCTGGGGGAAAAAAAAGTCAGTTTCATAAATTTTATTCTGAGAAAATCTACCATAAAGTCTACTTGAACCTGACGTGAAAGCAGATATTGGATGCTAAGTATAATTTTATTTAAAAAATTGCATTTTGTTTGTAAAATGCTCAGTTTTATTGAGGATATTGAAAGGAAGCAGAATAAAGAGTCAGATGAAGGTAAAATGAGGAGAAAAGGCATCCAGTGTCAATATCCGGTGCACCCACACAGTGTGTTTGTGTGTGCGTGCGCGTGTGTGCGTGCGCGTGTGTGTGTGCACGCGTGCACATGCACATGTGTGTGTGTTGGGGGAGGTGACAAGCCACACTCAGCCCCTCCTGTCGGGTGAAACAGTCATTAGAGAGGGAGTGGGAGATCGAGGTAGAAAGCGAAGGACAGAGAGAGGGTGGGGTGAGTTAAATTGTGAGGAAGGGGGAGAGACGGAGGTGGACAGAGGGAGCAGACGGAGGAGTGAAGGAGCCGTTACCATGGCGCAGTCGCCTCTGAGCGCATCGCCCGGCGTTCGTCGCCGTAGCGATGGCTCGGTAAGAGAATGTCTGTTCTTCCCCGTCTCTGAACGCAACGAGCAGGAGAGGCTGGAGGCCCTGGTGCGCCGGAGAGTCGGGGGTTCTGAAAGAAGAGGAGGTGCAGGGGAGGCCCACCTGGACAACAGGCCCAAACGATGGACCTGGGAAGGACCGCCTGACGGAGCAGAGGGTGAGTCTTGAGGTTTGTTGTGGATGGGGGCTGGGAGCGATAGAGAGGAGGAGGTCTGTAGGTCAGGTGGAAAAAGGAAGAGTGGGGAGAAGGGTGGAGACTTCAGGGGAGGAGGTGAAATAGGGATAGGAAGTGAGGAAGAGGAGGAGGATGAAAAGGGTGTGGAGGCTGCAATGCAGGAGCAGCTCAGCACTTTGTGTGTGAACCTCAGAGGGGTTAGTCGGAGCTGAAGTGTCTTCTGAACATCGTCGGACCGCAGGACGCCTCGGGATGACATCACACTCTCAGGTATCGCTGTTTGCTGCTCGTTATCGTGCCACAGGTGCGCCGGTCTGTTGTGGTTTTTGTTTCTCTGCTGGGGGGCTGGTTTTAACCTCAGGAGAGCAAGAGTTGCACATCTAACCTTGAGCACAACAAGGCCACACACATAAACAGACGAGCTGCGACACGAGGCCGTTTACCGAGCTAACATCCGTCCTTGTCTGATTTGACGTCTTTTTGTCCTCCATCCCGTCTTTCCGGTCTTCTCTGAGACGGGTTCTGCAGCACATTTATTACACCATCAATTATTCACAGCTGCCGTCAGCTGAGCCTGTCCTGATCATAAAGTCCGCCCAGCAGCTCCTCTGGCTCCGGTCCGGCTGCCTGTCGGAGAGGCTGCTCCAGGTTCTGTCAGGGCCCGGCTCACTGCAGCAGAACCAGCAGCAGCTCAGCTTACATCTAAACTCGATTAAAGAACAGACTCATAAAAAACACAGCATGACTAAGGGATATGTAGCTTAAATTAACATCTGTGCAAAAAGGCGACTACTGTTCCTCGCAGGTAAAATATTTTCATCAACTCGTTGTATACAAATATTTTTGGGACATAAACCCAAGTAGCTACAACAAGCACGTTTAGCTTAATAATGATGCAACAAGGAGGTGATATAAACAAAAAGTCCTCAGCATTTGTTTTTAACTGGGTGGTTCTGATATTAAGAGTACGGTGGCTTTATTTGAATTATTTCACTCATGTATAAGGATTAAAAAACATGAAGCTGAGTTGTTTTTAGAAGCTGCTCCGTACATAACAGAAACCTTACAGCCGCCTGACGACTCGTTTTGTTTTCTTTAGTCAGAAAAAGGTTGGAGATGGTTCGGGTTTACCGTGCAGTTTGGTGTTCTAATGATTTCATTCAGTCCCAGTATTTCACTGGGCACCAGTTAATGAACAGCATTCGCGAGGCCGTCTCCAAAATGTCTCGAAACGTTTGCGGGGGCTCTTTGTTTCAGAGAACGAGTTCGAAAGTTTCGTGCAACAAATTTTCTCTTGTAGAATTTTTGCAAACGCTTTAAGCTCTAGAGCTGCATTTTGACACCTACATGGGAGCTCTTCTTTGACAGAAAACATGCTGAGGTCACAGCGGGCCTAAAACATCAACAATAAAAATAATTAATAGCCAACTGGTTCAAAACTGCCCATCTTCTTCTCTGTAGTTATTAAATATAAACATGGAGGCAGGTGCCACGGTTGGTAGCAAGGCAGATGACAAATTCAATTTTGCAGTTCTGCAAGCCTTGCTCACAGTTTAGTCATAATTTAAAAAAAATAAATTGTGCTGTCTTGGCTTGCTAGTCACTTTGTTCAAAAACATTCAGAATTCAATGAGACGCAACAGAAAATTCACCTTTTTTTCCAGCAATTTTGAGTCGCCAGCTCGTCTCCCAACAGCCGCAGCCTCGTGAGACACCACAGCACCATAATTGTATCACAGTTACTCAAATGCATCACTTGTGTAGGTTTGTCTTCATTAGAAACACAGAAAATGTTGAACACGAAAGTTGAATCTCAAGCTAAAACAATAAAATTAATCTTAAAACCAACACATTAATGTTGTAAAAAGCGACTCGTCTTTGTGTCTCGGTGATGCAGTCTGTGATTTTTCTACTTGCTGTTTTAAACCAGCTTCATTGATTTGTACAAATATGGCGTTTTATATTTAAAAAAAAATACACCTAAGAGGCTGTAAGTACGTCAGCCTTTCTCACATTTCTATCAATCTGTGTGAAAACACAGTTGCCCTTTGTTGGCTTTCCACTTTTCTGCCTTGCAGCAATTTAAGCAACTGTTGATCTTTCGATTCATCATGTTAAGCTTTGCAGAACTGTGTTCATAAGCAGTGACTCAACAAAGCACATTTCATCTGTTCCCATTATTAATGCCAGTTGTGTTTTAGGTTCTTGGAAAGCCTGATCAGTCACATTTACGATGAGGTACAACTTGTAATGGTTGTGTATCTGTAGAATGAGCGATCCAGTTAAACAAATGGGTAGTGCCCAGTAATTAGACGGCTTCCAGGAAGTCTGCAGTGACTGGTCGTCACGGTCAGGCCCGTTTGCACTTGTGCCAAGAGCACCGACAGTGAAACATATGTATGCGGTGTGACGTCATATTCGGTGATGAATCAAGTTTCTGACTTCATGAGACGGATGATGTGGAGAACGTTTTGCAGATCGCTGCACAGATGGCGTTGCATTCAATGAGGTGGGGCGGGATCTCTTTGATGAAACAGAACTTGTGATTATTCACAGCCGTTTCACTGCAGTGATCTATCGGAATGGGATTCTGATATGGGATGTGGGCACTAACGCTATCTTCCAAAACTCTCTCCAAAACATCAAAGGCCGTCCACTATGTGGGTGTGCTGCTTCTGGGACTCCGTTTGTGGTGGCTCTTTGGATTGATGGAGTCTTTTGGATGATGGAAGAAACGTCTCAACAAAAAAAGAAACCGTCCAGATGACCTGACTGAACTTTGTTGGGTCTCTTCAAAACCTTTATCTACCTTCATCAACCCCTGGTTGAGGAATGGGCGACCATCTTGATGTAAAATATGACCAGACATCTGCGTGAGGAAAAGGTGCCAAGCTGCTGTGGCTGTGTGTGGATCTTCCACATGATACTGAGGTTCATGACAGTTTAAAATGTTCAACTACGTACCGTTTACTGGGGGAGAGCGCAATCACCCAATCCACCAAACACCTAAAAAAAAACCAAGATGTTTGCAGTAGTTTTTAGATCTGTTTTACAAGTTGTACCTGGCACAAAGACTCATCAGACTTTCTAACAACATGAAATACACCACAAGTTGGTGTTATTATTATTATTAGTAGAGAAACAACTGATTGAAATAAGGTTTTCAGACTCTTTGAAGAGTTTATTTATATGAAAGACATCTGAAACGTGGCATAGAAACCCTAAAAATAACTTTTGGTAGCGTAACAACCATCTTGGAAGTGTAAATATTCACATTAGCCCAAAAACCCAGTTTTACTAAACTAGACAGAGTTTGCTTCATACTCTTCTGTGTCTTCTGATTTGACATTTGCTCTGAGCCTTCTTGGCTTCTTCAGCTGTTTGTGATGCGTTTAAGGAGGACTGTCTGAACTGATGATTGGTCAAAATCAGATTTCGGTGCAGCTCCTCGGGATAAGAACATTGGGTTTTATCATTCGGGTTTATTTACAATTTAATTAACTGCGAATAGATGTAGGTTTGTGAAACAGATGTGTTGTGTGTGTGTGTGTGTGTGTGTGTGTGTGTGAGAGAGTGTGTAATGCTTTGCTTTTTCCGCTCTGCTTCACCTGCTGCCCAGGTAACCCTAAGACCCCGCCCCGCCATGCCATTGGCTCCACTCAGCCCAATGAGCTTCCTGCTGCTTCCAGTGCCAGCCAATCCCGTAACGGTAGAGATCACATGACTCTGTGCGCCCCGCCCACATCACCTCCCACCTGCAGCTGATCTTCTGTCTGCATGGCGTCTTTGTGCCGTCGATATGGCTGCTACATCGTCCTGAAACGTGTGTTCGTCGTGTGTGTTGTAAATTTACTGCAGTGTTGAGGAAACCTGCTTAGATAACAATTTAATCCTTTCCAACCTCAAAATTGTCCTCTTCTGTTCTAACTATGCACGGCTCAACTAAACAACTTGTGTTAACCGTACTTGGCTTTTTAAAATACAAATCCACTTAAAAATGTATGGATCTTTTAAAAACGGCACCACAACTAGTAATAAACAGTTCCATATATAATAAATAACGTTCTTTTTTTTTTTGTTACTTTGAAAGCTCTTGCTTGAAGACTGATTTATTTTATTTTATTTTATCTTAGGCTTTGAAATCATTTTATTTTAAATTATTTTACACGTGTAGTTAACGTCAGATTAACAAGTGGATCAGCAGTTCTTTAAATGTTTCCAGTGCCGAGCAGAATGAGTTAATTAACCAACCAGCCAGCCAACAAATGAACTGTTAGTTAAACAATTAATCAACCATTCATTTGCTTAACCAACGATCAAATCAAACAGTGAACCAATAAATCAACCCAGTAATTAACCAGTCAATCAACCAACCAGCCATTAACCAATGATCCAATCAACTGACCAACCAACCAATAAACTAGTCGATCAAACAATCAATCAACCCATTAATCTTGAGTCTGTCAACCAGCCATTTATTTAACCAATGATCAAATCAACTGACCAGCCAACCAATAAACTAACTGATCAAACAATCAATCAACCTGTTAATCAATCAACCCGTCAATTACAACCGGTCAATCAACCAAACAGCCATTTATCTAACCAATGATCCAATCAACTGACCAGCCAACCGATAAACCAATTGATCAAACAATCAATCAACCTGTTAATCAGCCAACCAATCAATCAATCAATCAACCCATCAATTAACCAGTCAATCAACCAGCCAGCCGTTTATTTAACCAATGATCCAATCAACTGACCAGCCAACCATTAAACCAACTGATCAAACAATCAACCTGTTAATCAACCAACCAATCAGTCAATCAATCCATTAATTAACCAGTCAATCAACCAACCAGCCATTTATTTAACCAATGTTTCAATCAATTTCCCAACCAACCAACAAACCAACCAATCTATCAACTAATTTAAGCAGTTTATTTCTTAATCACAATTTGAAAACAATCCCCACTGAGCAAACAAAATAACTTTCTACAGTAAGCCAACAAAAATGTAAAAATAAAAAATAAGTTAAATAAATAAATAAATAAAATAAACTTCTGCTCAAATCCTGTGAAACAAACGGGTTTTCAGCAAAGATCGACAATGGACAGTTAAACTCTAATTTTTAAGAACTATCAGGCAGTTTGACCTTCAACACTAACTACCGTAGTTGTTTTTTATATTTATATTTTTGTTGTTGTGTTTTTAAAAAACACAATTCTGTTCATGTCTTTGAGCCATTTTCATACACGGTTTGTATTTATATTGTGTAAATGTGTTAAAGTCTCGATCCACTCATCGTTTACTTTCCTTACAAAAAGCCAGACTTTGTTGACAAACTACACATCGTTACAAAATATGCCGAACCATCAGGTACAAGTACAGAAACGGAGTGGACCAAGAAACTAAAGTCCAAAGAAAAACTCTTCAGAAGAACCGTTGTTTAAGACCGTTACAGGAAAACCTCACTGCTTTGACAGAAAATGAAAACAAACGATGACTGGATCAGGACTTTTACTCAGGGTTGTGTTTGTCCCAACGTATAATCGCACATCGCCCCACCCTTATCACAACAAAGGGCGGCTCCTCTTCCTGTCCCTCTGGCTCCGGGCCGTGTTTAACCATGCGTGGAGATAACTCTCAGCAGGGAATCTGTCCATAAAACACACACGGCGCTCATCATTCCAGACATTCACCCTGCAGCCATCTGAAACGTGTTGGAGCCCACCAACAATCACAGACGGACCTCTGGGTTCAATCACTACTGTCCCATTTCTGCACACGACCACGTCCGCTTGTTGTTGGAAACCGCCTCTGTATAAAGTCAAGGAAGGGATTTTAAAACGCCATTTTAGTTGGGTTTTTTTTACGCTTTCTAATTAATTTTAATGTAGATTACTAAATGTAGAGCAGATAAGTAAAGAGAAGAACAGAGTAGAGCAGTTTAGACTTCAGCCTGAAGAAAACATATATCAACGTCTAAACAGAGCTTCAGTCGTTTAACTTCTGATATTTGCCTCTGATACATGCAGATAAGTTCATGACCCATTCTGCAACAAGATTCAGAACCAGCTCAGGCTACAAGAAGATGGGAGGAGGAGCTGGAGGTGGCAGAGATGAAGATGTTCAGGTTTTAATCATAGAATGGACAGGATGAGAAGGGACAGCTCAGGGTTGCAGACAAAGTTGGAGAGACGAGGCTGAGATGGTTTGGACATGTGCAGAGGAGGGACAGTGGACAAACTGAACAAAGGTTGGTTATGGACTAGAAGAGGAAGACTACAGAGAAGGCTCATGGAAGTAGTGGAGGAGGGTCTGTAGAGGGTTGGGCATGGGGAGAAGGAGACATGTGAAGTCTAATGGGAGCAGAAGAAGAAGGGCGACGGATCAAATCAGCTGTGAACTTAGAGAAGATTAAAAAATAGATTCAGCTCTGAGTGTTCAGGTTGTCTTCTCTCTGGATGTGTTCATGGTGCGTTCAGGCGCTGTAGGAAACATTTGACCTCCGCAGCTGCTTTGTTTCGTCATCCTTCGTGATGAAGCAGTTTGTCTCTTCTGCTGCTTCACTTGTGTCCTCGCCAGCAGCCTCATCGATCAGCAGGATTATTTTCTGCGTGGGGCGGCACTTCTCTGCCTCCCGCAGCAGGGATCCGCAGCTTCACTCCCTCGTGTTCGTTTCTGGGTCAATAACTGCGTATTTAATTTTTTTTATTCAGTAGTTGACTTCCTGTCTCCTCCGACGATGGATGAGCCAGACAACAAACAGCTTTCCAACTCTTCTGCGTCCCTCAGCTCACCGGAAAGAGGTGAGACATCAGATCAGATTGGTTTTAAATTTGATAAGAATCTAAGCCGACAAAATGGCCGATTGTTTTCATTTTATTTCATTTTAAGACACAAACACAAACAAATCTGCATTCAGAAAAAAAAACTGTTTGTATTTATTATGTTTTCTTCTCTGTGTTCATGTCTGCGTTTTGTTTTTGTTATTTTGCCGTTTGTCGGTCTGTGACCCGTCAGTGTCGTTTGTGTCCCATCGAACAGCTTCCCCCAGCAACCACAGACCCATCAGGAGTTCCTCCAACCGCAGGAGCGTCACTGGACTCCCCGAGGAGACGTCCAGGGCCAAAACCCCCACGGTCAGCTCCCCTCGCACACGCCACTGTTTTATTTTATAGAAACTTAACTTAGACATGAAGAAATTCTAACATCCCACTTTTACCCTAAACCTTCTTTTGACATTTAAACAGCTCCTAAATGTTATTTCCTGGAGTTTAATCCTCACTCAGATTAAAAAACACTTATAATTGAGATGACTGTTTCCAAATGAGCCGTTCAGAACTGAACCTTCACACAATGGTACGCCTGCTGTCAGGATTTTATCTTAAAATATATTTGATATGATAATTTAGCTGCTGCTTTATAAAAAGAGCCGCATCTACTCTCTGTTTTTTAGCTTTTGTTTAGCTTGAGATTAGACCGAGTCAGCATTTACGCCATTATCGCTGAGTCAGCATTTCACCTGGATTTCATGGTTTCTCCAACTCGATTATTGGACTGTAGCTACTTCAGCTTACTTTTAGCTGTTTTAACCGTTCATTTATCAAAATTACAGCTGTGAATGTTGTTTTTTGTAAAAAAAAAAAAAAAAAATTTAAAAACCTTTAAAATTTAAAACCTTTGGGGAAAAAAAAGAAAAGAACTTTCCAAAGTAATAAAATTTACTCTTATTTTTTTTATATACTTCAGCTTTCTTGCTTCATTTCTAGCCTTGAGCTGCTGTTTTACTAGTTTTAGCTTTTAGCTCCTGCTCTGCTTATTTTTACTTCAGATTTTGTTTTACTTAATTATTTTTTTTGCTACTATTTAGCTATTTTTACTTATTATTTTGCTGGTTTTGGCTTTTTGTTGTTATTTTGCTTGTCATAGAATTAAACCACTGTTTAGCTGTTTTTCGCTTTTAGCTAGTTTTGCTAAAGTTGGCTTTGAGTTGCTGTTTTACTAATTTTTATTTTACATGTCATTTTGCTCCTTTAAGCTTTTAGCTACTGTTTTGCTTATTTTGGTTGTGAGCTACTGTTGTTACTTATACTTATGCTATTGTTTCACTGGCTTTAGCATTTAGCTACTGTTTAGCAAATTTTAGCATATCATTTTTTAATTTGTACTTTTGCATTTCTTTCTGCTAGTTTAGCCTTTTAGCTACTGTTATGCTTATTTTGGCTGAGTTTCAGTGACCTAATTGGCCTTTATATTTTAATGGAGCAAACTTTAGCTTTGGCTACTATTTTACAAATTTTAGCTTAGATTTTTGGTTTTCCTAATTTTAGCCTTTACTATTGTTTTTACTGAAGCGGTAGCTACTATTTTGATCATTTGAGTCTTTAGCTTTTTTAGCCTTTAGATTACATATAGATAATTTTAGCTCTTTCTCTGAGCATTGTAACTTTAACAGCTGAAATGAAGTCCTTCAGCTTCTGCTCTTCACAGAAAATGTGATTTCTGTGATTACTAATAAACCTTTAGTTTCAGCTGATGTTTTTTTGTGATTGTCTTACATAGGGGGAGACTTCGAACATGCCAGTCCGCAGTTCTTCCTTCAGAGCCAACAGTAAAGGCCAAGTCATGCCCAAACGGTGCGTTAATGGCCGAATGCGCCGCTCGCCTGCTTTATCATTCGGCTCATGTCACGACTTCTGTCTTTCAGGGTGAAGTCCAACAGGAGCCGCGCTCAGTCCCCCTGCTCCCCCGGACAGTACCCGCCCTCCCCACTCCGACAGAGAGCCGGCACCCCCGGCACCGACGACAGGGGCCACGCCGAGGTCAAAGGTCAGGGCACCCTGGAGAGGAAATCAGCCAAATCTGAGACCTCCGAGAGCAAGAAGATCCCCAAATCCACCAGCAGAGAGCTGAATGCAGGTAAACACAAGCAATCAAAACGTTCGGCTCATTCAGGAGATGTGTTGTGACTTTTACTTTTGTAACTTTTATACTTCTTAAAACATTTACCTTTTATTTATTAAAAAAAAATTAAAAATTTCCCCAGAGAAATAATTTCAATTTCTTCAGAAACATTGTTTTTGTTGAAATCTGCTTCAACTACTGGCTGTGTTTTTAAGGCTACCTTGAACTTTTAGCTTGTCTACTGTTAGCTAGCCTTTTGCTGCTTTAAACTAGTCTTTTGATACTTTTAGCTTTTAGCTAGCTGTTTCCTACTGTTAGCTAGTGTTTAGTACTTTTAGCTTTAACAAATCAATTTTAGCTTCTTCAGCAAACTTCATCCTGCCTTAGTGTTGGCTGAATTTTTACAGAAAATACAATTTCTGAAGTTCAAAATGTTTGTAAAGTATGATTCAATAAAAATAATAATTACGGGATAACGATAAAGTATTTATGATATTCATTGAATACACTCGAGCTGACTGACTTGTTGGATTATAAGATCATTTTATTTGTTTCTCCTTCATGGCCAAAATATGGGGCCGAGATGGTGTAGAGGCAGGGCAGCTGGCTTGGGACCCGAGAGTCCCAGGTTCGATCCCCAGTCACTGCACATCACGTGGCGTCTCTGGGCAGCACGTCTAATCCCCAAAATGTCCCCCGGGCGCTTTCAATAGCTGCCCACTGCACCACCTGGTGGTGGATGGGTTAAATGCAGAGACTAATTTCGCCATTGTATGGAAACATACAGTGCTGACATTGTGATGACATTATTATTATATTTCTCTCAAACGTTAATTTACTCTTCACCGCCGCCTCCCTCCTCTTCCTCCACTCAGAGTCTCCGAGCACGCCCACGGGCCGGAGCGTCGGAGGGACGACAGATGCTGAGGAGGCGTCCAGGCTGCTGGCAGAACGGCGCCGTCTGGCCCGGATCCAGAAGGAGCAGGAGGAGAAACAACGGCAGGAGGAGGAGAGGTGAGCCTTCTCCTCAGTAAAGATGCGTCCTGTTACAGAATCAAAAAACAGCTCTGTGGATGAAATAAACGACTTCTGAAAGACTCTAAACTCTGAGTTTAAGATCATCAGCACATTAAGAGCAAATAGAAAAACTATTAAAAAATATATTAAATGTTTTGCTCCGTGGTCAAGATCAGTTTTTAAATTGCCTGATCTAGAAGTCATTTTTCAAACAGCGGCTAAAATATAATGAAACTGCCATTTTATTTTAGCTGTTAGCTAGCATTTTGCTTCTTCTAGCTTATAGCTCATGTTTAAATACTATTAGCTTATAGCTAGTCTTTTAATTCTTTTAACTTATAAGTAGTATTTTGCTACTTTTAGCTAGTGTCTTGCTCCTTTTTGTTCTTATCGAGCATTTTTCTTCTTTTAGCTTATAGCTAGTGTTCTGTGTTGGCTAACATTTTGCCACTTTTGTTTTTAGATAGCAATTTGATCATTTTAGCTTCTAGCTAGTGTTTTATGCCTTTTTGCTTTTGGCTATCATTCTGCCCCTTTCAGCTTATAGCTAGTGTTTTGCTAGTTTTAGCGGCTCCTTGTAGCCTGTGTTCTGTTGACGTTAGCTTTAACAACTCAGTTTCAGATTCTTCAGCTACTTTCAGCTAACTCCTGCAGCTTTGTTGTGTTTTAGCAGAAAAGATCAAATAACTTAAGTTTACAGATGAACTGGATCAGAATCTGGATCTGAACCGGATCTCTGGGTCTGAACTGGATCAGAATCTGAAACTAAACTAGATCTGAATCTAGATCTGAACTGGACTGGATCTGAACAGGAACTGCACTGGATCTGAATTTGAACTGGATCTGGACTGGTTCTGAATCTGAACTAGATCTGAATATGGACTGGATCAGATTCAGGATCTAGACTGGATCTGAATCTGGACTAGATTTATGTTCTGAACTTGTTGTTTTTTTGTTTCTTAGAAAAGTTTTATTGTGAAATGTCGTATCAATAAAATTATTTGAACCGGTGTTTCCTGCAGGCTGAGGCTGGAAGAGGAGCAGAGGAGGCAGCAGGAGGAGAAGGAGCGTCAGGAACGAGCGGCGCGACATGCCGAGGAGGAGCGAGCCAGGAAGGAGGAGGAGAGGAGGATCATGGAGGAGGAGGAGAGACGAAAGAAGGAGCAGAGACTGAAGAACATGCAGGACCAGCTGGACAGAGACGTCAGTCCTCACAGACACATCGTCCAAAACACGATGAAATGATTCAGTTTCAAAAATCTCTTTCAGGTCGTTTAAATTAACAAGTCGGTAAATAGAACACGAACACGCTCCGGTAAAGAGTTCCTGAACGAACCAAGAGCGACCAAACAAACTTGAAGTCTTCACGGAGCAGCAGAGGCTGAGTGCAAACTAATCTTTGTTTTTCAGAGGGAGGAGGCCTTCCTGAGGGCCCAGAAGGAGGCGGACAGGAAGAGACAGGAGAGGGAGCTGCTGCACATCCAGGAGGAGCAGGAGAGGCAGCAGAGGAAGAAGGTACCAGAGACCTCCTCCTCTGTCTCGTCACAAGATCTGGTTCTGAAGGAGGCCCTTACACGATGAATTTAAATTATAAACGTCCCCTCGAGCTTTTATTAGAATAATAAACAAATATTTACCAAAAATAAAGTAAAAACTACAGGAGTAGTCAGTCATGAAGTGGGTTATTTTATTTATTTATGGTTATTATTATCATGGAGAATGTCCGGTCCACACTGTCTCCAACAATCTGCTCCGGTGAAATGAAAATAAATAAATAAATATTCCTCCTATTTTTTTTAACTCTTCTGTCGTCCTTTGTCCTTGTGGCCAGTCATGTTCTTTAGGGGAAGTCCTTATTTAACTGCTTAAAAATAATATTTTTTCCACATAAACTAGTCGGTATTTCAGAACTGTCAGCCTGAAAAATAAAAATCTAATTTAAATGACTCTTTTTGAATTTGAACTCTTTAAGGGTTGTTAAGGACCCTTCAGATCTGTAGATAAAAACGAGGCCTCATTTTCTTTCAATCCTGTCGCAGAAAAAAATCATGTTTCTTGACTGCAAAAGAAATTAATCAATAAAACCACAGACAAAAACAAACGCTCCTGATTTTCCCCCAAAAGACGATCGAAGCGTTAGTTTTGTTAGGATTTGCTGAGGTTACGTTAAAAGATAACGACCCAAGCTCACCGCCGGCGGTCTTCAGTTCCTCGCTAGAGTTGCCTCGGCTCTGAACAGTTCTCCAGCAGATTAAATCCTAAACACGGGGGCTAGGTGGTACAAATCCTTGGGAATGTTTAAAAATGTCCGTTCTGTCAGGATTTTATTAACGGACTACATAGCTCGCAAACTTTCATCGAAGTGGACTCATTTTCACACAACTTCGAGTCCCCGGCTAGTCTCCAAGACCACCTTTAAACCGTGATCCTCCGGTTCTGGAGCTTTAAGGGTTTTCACATGATCTTTATGTCTTTGTGCGTTTTCCAGAGGATTGAGGAGATCATGAAGAGAACGAGGAAGAGCGACGTGGAGCCTCCATCGGCTGCCTCGGGTAAATATTAAAAACCTTCTTTTTTAACTTGAACGTTCTGCTGAGAGCTGCAGAACCAAGGTTCTCCTCTTCAGTTTTTTACGTTTAGAGCCACGTTTTTTAGTTGATCCGCAGATTATTTTCTCACCGGGGTATTTTGCTTCCTATAGATGTTTAAAAAGATTTATTTCAGTTTGTTTTTCCATCATTTTGAGACTGAGCTGCAGCGTCAGAGAGGCTGGAGAACGATGGTTCGACCCCAGAGAACAGACAACATGGCCGCTTCATTAGCTCAGGAGGAACCAAAGGGAATTATAATCTCTGCAGCGGAGTTACAACTAATTAATGATTAAAATTAATGATTTCTTTGACAGTAAAGAGTCTCCACCTCGCTTCATTTCAGATTCATCAGCTGCCGCAACACTAACCGAAGACGTTTCCTCTCCTCTGGCCTTGTGCTGTTTTCAGTGTCTGAGGGGAAAAGTGAAGCGGCCGTCACCTCGGAGGAGGACGCACCGACTCCTGCCGAAGCCCCCGTCATCATGCTGGGGCCCCTGGAGAACAAGAGCTGCGTGGACGAGCTGTCCGATGGAGTCCAGTCCATGGACGTCAGGTAAACGGAATGCAGCTGACGAGCGCTGCAGAAGTCCAGTTAAACCCATAACCGTGTCGGTTCCACCAGGGTGTTGTTGGTTTCATCAACTGTGCACATTCAAACCCTGCAGACACGTTCACTGGTGCACATTAAATATTAAACTGGTTTCATGAGATGTGGACTGATAGAAAGGGTTTATACATGCAGCTGTTTTATATTTTACTTCCGAGTACAAATACAATTTCATGTTTTTACAACTTGAGCGCTTCAAACCAGCTGAGACCTTCTCAGAGGTTTAATTTTTATTTATGCGACTTCAAAGGCTTCTCATACGAGCAAGATTTTATTTTTCTGCTTTGCTTTAATCGTTAAGTTTGTACCTGGACAGTTTATTCATCAGATGTTTTTTTTTTTATTAATCCTCTACGGGTTCAGCTCAGAATTATTATTTTATTTTAAATTATTTTAAATGAATAATTTATTCTGAGACGCTGAGAGGACAGAAAGCTTCTGGTTAAAACATCTAAAGACGATGTTCACGTCAACACCACTTTTATAAACCAACCGGAAAATGACAAACCGACCAGCCCAGAGTGAAGGCAAGCGATGATGTTTTTGTCCGTTAGCAAAATATCTCATAAACTACTGGATGAATTTTCATTGGATGAATGTCTACAACTGATTAACGTCCCGATTCAAGATGGCCGCCACAGCTGATCAGCCTCAGTCAACACAAACATGACTCTAACCCAGTTCATTTTACTGACCGAGCTGGATTTTGGCGTGGTAGTAGCTGAGAGTGATCCATTCTGAAGCGTTTCTTCAAGGCGTTCCGGGCTTTAAATTTAAAAACAAGTTTTTATCACAAAGACCTGACATTCGTTTTTTTAAAGTTCTAACAGTTTAAACGTTCTGTCTTTCTGTCGTCGTCGTTCCTGTAAGTTCTCCATCTGTCTCCATCAGTCCGGTGTCCCGGGACGAGCAGGCGAGCGCTCAGGAGTTCTCGCCGGTCACCGAGGGACCTGACGGTTGTCCCCTGGAGCACCTGATGGACCTGGACGCTCCGGGACGAGGACAGTGGCGGGGAGCGGAGACGCCCCCTTACCCCAAGCTGCAGGCCGGCAGCGGCGTCGGAGACCTGAACAAGAACCTGCTGATCCAAGCGTACAGCGCCGCCTCCGAGTCCTCCCAGCTCATCGCCAGCGTCGGGCCGAGCAAACTGGACGTCCAGTAGTCAGGTGGAGACAAGGACACACCCAGACTAATCTGCAAATTAAAAAACGACTTCCTGTTGTAGTGTTTACCAGTCCAGGACGAGAGTTTAACCTTGATTGATTCTGTCTTCTTTCAGGAGCTGGAACGAATAAAAAGCAAAACCAAGAAATTCATCTACAAGAACCATCAGATCCCAAAGAAACGACTCAACACCTGATCGCTCACCTGAACCACCAAACCACCAAACCGCACCCACTCATCACCGTTTGGATCTTTTCAGGCAGTGCAGACGGACAAGTCACGCTTTCACGGCGGTGTGTCGGAGACAAAACGGCTCAGGTTCACTTCACTTAAAGGCTGTTCACACAGAGAGAAATCTGATTTGAATAATCCAGAACAAGAAGCTCTCTCTGAGGGTTTTAACCAAACGTTGGGACGTTTCCTCAAAGACGAAAGTTGAAACAAAGAGAGGAACGAGATCTTTTAGTGACGTTTGAACCGTTCTTTTTCCTGACGTCAGTCATTATTCAGGTTTGATTATCCGCAACAACCAGAATTACACTCACACTAAGATTTTTTTCATCTGGACCTCAGACTTTTTGTCTCCATCAAGCTTCAGAAGCTCATCAGAAACCAGTTCTGAGTGTGCTGGACCCAACTGTGTCCAAGTTTGAACCATCCAGCTCCAAGTTCTGCAGCCTTCACAACCCAAATATACATTTCTGTCCCTTCACTCACCAATGAGTAAATAAATACATAAATACATAGATGTGTCCCTTTCCAACCAGTGGTGGTGCTGCTAGAAGCTCAAAGAACAAAAGAACTCTTTAAACATTAAATAAATACAATTTTTTTGTTGTTTTTTTTACTTCTAAATCTACAAATCTATAGTAAAGTCACTTTGTTTTGTATTTTTGCCTGTTAGGACAAAAAAAAAAGATCATAACGATACAAAAAGGGATAGAAATATTAAACCTATGTAAAAAAACATTATTAACACTTATCTTACTTCGACTAAATTAAACATAGAGTTGGAGTAAATATATAAAATTAGGCCAGTCTGGTGTGTTTTACCTTTATTTATTCTAACTTATTTTAGAGAGAGGTCACCTCGTGTGGCTGGAAGTTATATTCGTGAAGCGGCTAACAAACTCCGAGCATGATCTGATCCTTGTTTGATCAGCATCAGCCACGCATTAGCAAATAAATCAGACACAAACTGCTGGAATCAGCCCTTTCTCATTCTATCCTGGGAAAAGAACGGCTCAAAACAATCTTTAAATCCACTAAATTAACAAGCCGAGTGGATGAAAACCTCGCATCACATCCTGGACTGCATCCACGAATCTGAACGTTTCCCGTGTCGGGCCCGTCTGCACTGCCTCGAGACGCCCGCTTTCACCTGTAACCCCCGCCGCTTGAAAACTTCTGTAAATAGACGAATCGACGACGTCGTTGGAACAGGAAGCAGCTCTGCGGCAGGAAAACTGAAGGAGGGTTGTTAAAAAAAACAAAAACAAAAAAAACGAGGCCGTTTGTGTAAAAACTGTAGCAAACTCTACGAGGACTAGCTAGCTGTGGTTGTAGCTGTGTAGTTCAAGGGTATGTGGGAGTTCTTCTCTTTCCGTCGGTGTTTCTCGTGTTTATCCCAACACCGACCTTCTCTACTGCTGGCAGCCACTTCCACTCGATTTCACGCCTTCCCCATGGGAGAACTCAGAAGTCTCACTTTACTCCCGCTGTCAACATGTAACCTTTAGCTTGGGTTTCTCTCCTGCTCGTCACCTCACCGGAACGTTTTTGGACCTGCAGAGGGAACAAAAAATCCTTATTTTTTATCAGCAGGTCGACGATTTCCCGACGTGTATTTGTCGGTTTCCGACTGCAGTTTATCGAGCGCACCTAAAGTAGTTCAATGTGTCACTGCTTTGAAGACGCTAGACTAGAATCTACTTCACCGAGTCACAACAGAACACCTCTGAGGCCTTGAAACCTCTGCTTCACCACGACTGACCAAGGGCCACCTTTTCACTTGAAGGAGCCACGAAAACAGTTACATTTTAGATGTTTTTTTTTTTCTTGGCTTCTTTCTTTTTTTTTTCACGACTCTGTGAAAACGTAGGAACAACGAGCATTAAATCAATTCTCAACATCCAGTTAAGACTTCAGACAACCGAAATAACAAAAACTGTTGTCCAATCCGAGTCGTTTCCAACTGATGGTAAAAATCGACATGGAAAATGTTTTGGAATCTAAAAATGTAAGGCGACAGTCTTACTGTTGCAAAGATTTAAATGCAAACCTTTTTGCCGCCACGCTCAAGGAGGAAGTCGTTTCCTCGTCGCAGCTGTGAACTTCACTGCATTTCCTGACGTTTGTTTTACCCGTCGGCTCACGTGTTGCACATCGTTGTCCAGGTTCTACTGAAACCAGAGTGTCTGCTGAATCTGTCTGTATATGAAGTAAACATAAAGGACATAATGTTTATCCTAATATTACTAAAACTCTGCGACACTGCAGCTTGGTGGAATATATCATTATAAATGTGGTGCATGGATACTTGCTGAAAAAGAACAATAAACTTCATCAAACCACTTGTGGCAGTGAACTTGGATAAAAGAAAACTTTTTGTTCAGCAAAAACATTAAATACAGGCGATGTGTGAAATGACAAACGCAGCGACTTTTATTTATGTGCGACCTTATGCGTCAACATTAAATCTGATGTAAAACTACTGAACAATATCACAGAAGTATACTGTTGAAGTGAGAGCAATTCAAAACAAGGTTAAACTTCACTAACCACAACACCGAGCCACTGGTTCTGATACGTGGACGACACTCGGGTCTAAATCCACGTGGAAGAAGTAGCATTCATCAAAAACATCAACTCTGTGGATAACGTCAAGTTTACCAGAGACGACAAGCTGCCTGTCCTGGACTGTTTGGAGAACATGGAAAGAGATGGAGGCGTCAACACTGAAGTTTACAGGAAACCTACTCACACGGGTCAGAACCTTCTGTTTGGGTCTCTGCTGAGGACCAACAGGTCCAGATGTTGGACAGATGATTTGAAAGGGGGCCATCAAATGAGAGACTGAAAAAAAAAACTATACAGAGGAAGAGACTCAGATTTCAACAAGCAAAAATTGAGAGTGCAGCATTGGACCTGATTCCAGGTCAGCTCCACTCCAGTTCACATCATGCAGGTGACCCAAACAGCTCTGAACCAGGCAGATCTCCAATGACCGGGCGAGTAGCTCCACACTGAGCAAGACGTCTAAACAACGTCTTTTTTAAGTCGTTTCTGCATATCTGGGTCCCTCGGAGGTGCAGACTGTGACGACAGAAGACGTCTTTTTCCGACGTCGAAAAGACGTCTAGTTTCGACGTCTATATGACATGTTAAAAATAGACG